GTCTTGACTTTACGATTGAACTAATCATCGAGTAAATTCTTGAGAATTATTAGAACATTCAACATGAATTTAATTAGAGTTAGATCCCAATAACTATCTTACACTTATCCTATCGTAATTCTTATTTCTCATATTGCTTACAATCCGTTTTAGCTCAAATCTCTCAGTCTCTTTGATCAAGTCTAATTAGCTGCAATTTTAATTTAGTAGTTAATCGTAGTTAGTGATTATCTAAAATCAAAGTGTTGATCATCTTGAATGGCAATAAACCATAAGTTATTTGGTATTATTTAAATTTAATCTTTGTGGAGACGATAATTTTACATACTATCTTTGACTAGCGAGCATAAAACTTCTTGTATAGTTTGCACTCGTCAAATTTTGGCGTCATTGCCGGGATTGGCAATCAATGTTCAAAATAGTTTTTGGTGCTAATTCAAGAATCGATTTTATTTTATTGTATTCACGTTTCCTCACTTGTTTTCAGGTAACAAGTTTAATTTTTCTAGTATATAACTCTATTCTCTTCAAAGGAAGTGATTCCATACGATCCGGAGTTGAGAAACGCCTACAACAATTTAGAAAAGAGAGAGAATTCAACGGAAATTTCTTAGAAAAATCTTCGACCCAAGAGAACATGGCTAAAAACGGTGATGATGTAGTTGATTTGGCTACAATAGAAGCAACCCAACAACAGGAAGCAGATGCACGAGTGTTGACGACCAATTTTGATGCTCCCTTTAAAATTAAATTATTTATGCTTAATAATTTACAATAAATGTGGTAAAATATTTTCTAATCAATAATACCTATTTTTATATAAATATAATAGAAAATTAGTAATAAATAATATTAAATTAATAATCAGTATTAAGTATTTATAAAATATATCACCTTTACTATTTTTCAAACCAAGCAAATAACCTCTATATTTTGATACATAAGTTTTATAATTAATTTAACAAACTAATATTTGATTTTAAATTACATGTCTTATTATTTAAATCTGAAATTAATTTTATAATTTAGTAAATAAAGTATTTTAATAGATAATTAATTAATTACAGTAATTTATAGTGTATTTGATGATTATATATTTTTAATAACTTTTAATTAGAATTAATTAAGTTTAATTAAGATAATTTTAAAGGGATTAAAAGATTAAAAGGCTATAATTGCAAATACCTAATTAAATACAATGTGGCTATTCTTTAAATTAATTTCAGCCCAAAACACAGGCCCAATGTGGCACGACCCGGTCTGAAACTAACCCCTCCCATCCACCTTGGCAATCCATGCCAACCCTTGAGAGCTGATAGAATCGTGCCACATCCCCCGTCCTCTTCACTCACAAAATAAGAACAATGAATATGGACCGTCGATCTAAATCATCGACGACCCATATTTATTCTTGCTTTCCCCTTTATAATAAACCCTATTCCAGGTTATATCTCTACCTTTGGATCACAAAGATCCAACAGTCTTTTTTTTAATAAAATTAGTTTTAATAAATTGCATAACCTGAATTATCAGGACCGTAGATCAAATAATCCAACGACCCAGATTTCGTCTTTCGTTTTTAACCTAGAGAGTCCCTTATCCCTAGTTCATTCTGTCCCAATACGGCCTCCCTAATTTCCCTTTTCTCTCTTCTGTCTCTCAAATTTCATCAACCCTAATCAATAAAAAACTTTTCACTAATTCGTACAAGGTCACAAATTCAGTCTTTAAATCATCCCCTTTCCCCTACATCCGTGAATCTAGCTGATTTCTTCTATTTTTATCACTAAATTCAAAAGCCCCAATCTGAAACCCTAGACCTAAAAGACGAAACTTAAACTCGTATGATTTTCCTATGCCCCGTCGAATCCATGGCATGCACGGTTGTATCTTCAGTTTTATCATTATTATTCCTTTTTTTCAGACGTCAAACGCAGCGACCTATGGACATTAGGACTTCGATCGACGGATCTTCATGCTTCAACGGTCAATTCCTCATTCTTTCATGCCCGGGTAATTCACCACGCTGTTTTCCCCCTTTGTGTTTCTCTCATTTCACCTCTATGCTATCATCATCCCATCTTCGTCACCTTCCACTATCTATTTTGAATTAACTGGAACCCTAAGATTTCAAAAACCATTATAAATAGGAGCAATAGAACCTAACGAAGATTATACCAATCAATATACTTAACATTACTAGCAAAAATATCTAAAAGTTCAAGTCTTTTCAGATAGGTTTAGTTTCCAGTAGTTTCTCCTAACTTTTCTTTTTCCTTTTTTTATTTCTACTCGAGTTTTAATCTCTGTACGTGATTCATTTGGTGTTTGGATTCCTAAACGGCTAAGTAAAAAGCTCTTGTTTGGTTTGTTGCCATGTAGAAGGTTAGTGTACACTGACTCTCCCTCTATCTTCGATTAAGGGCTATTTTTTTGGTTATAATGTTCCCTCTATTAATCACCTTTGTTTATAATATACATTAGTAGTTTGTGACTAATTATTATGTTCTGCTTTCACATGTTATTTTTACTATTTGAGTTAATTATCTCCTGATAACTTGTGATTATTCTAGTATTGTCGATCAAGTTAATGAACTTCATGACTTAACAAGATAAATATATTCTATAATGAATGATACAAGTCCTGCCGAACCTTTGTCATTAGTTAAAAGTCTTTTGATGATTCTACATATGCTTTGTCGGCTATAGCTAACATAATTGAATCATGCTTTAGACCTCTTCTGATGTCCTGATAAGAGTTCATGCTTGTTGCAATATAGTGATCCTCATCATAGTTCCATGTCACATATTTAATGTATCTATTTTGACTGAATAATCTATTATTGAAATCATGCTTACTTTAGACACTTCAGAGTTCATGTGTCGTTATAATCTGGACTTATGTAATAAATTCATTAGCATAGTCATCATGTTATCTGCTTATCTGATGTCCTGTAATTATGAAACTCTTTAGAAACCTTGTCGTATATAGGTTGAGTAACTTTTGTTGACCCCCATTCTTGTGTTTGCCTAGTTATGCTCATGAACCTTCTGTTTGATATTCATTTAATAAAGACTCATGCCTAAACTATTGTATTCTTCACTTGAAACTTTCTTATATAAGAAGAAGTTTAACCCTGCCCGCTTTAATAACTTAATAATGTAGAATCTAAAATAAGAGTCTACTGTTGTCATTCATAGGCTTAAACAAACCTATTAATACTTGTTTGTCTTGTTAAAATGAACACTTCTCCATACTTTATTGATGTCCTTGTCTATAGAGCCTTAATCATGAGCCTGGAAGTTGTTTGAGAACATGATAGAATAAGGATCATGCTGTTAAGTTTGAACTAGATCAAAACTAACCTTCTTACCTCTATGAATGCCTCTGCTGATGTTGTTACCCTTTAGGAAATCTGAACAAGGTTATCAGTATATGTGTTTAGTAGAGTGAGACTTCAACCATGTATTTGTTTACATCTGATTGTTATAAGGACCATTAGAATGGCTGTTGATGAACTGAAGACCTAGTTAAACGCCCTGAAATGTTAAGTCCAGCAGAACAAATAAAATTAGTGCCTGTGTATGCTCCTAATATTCACCAATGTTCATATCACTCAATTAGGTATTCTTGAACTTAGATTAGCTTACTGATAGTTTGCCATTAATCCTCCTTGTTTAACACCTATGTGAAAGTCTCTTTAAATGTTCTGATGCATACTATGAATGATCTATGACATCGCTGGATACTATAAGCACTTGCAATAGTATTCCTCCTTATATTTGTATTCTGATTCTAAGGTTAATGGTGTACTGATAATATTCTATGGAAATTATGTCTGAACCTTTATATCCACTTCCGCTCTCATGATGATTGCTAGGTGAATACCCTATTTGTATATAAACCTATGAGGAAGAGTAAGTGTGAGTGGCTAAGGGTATTTGGAGTGAAGTTGGATTTGTGGCTAGAATGCCCTTGCATGACACAAGCAATGCTCGGGGTCTATGAGATCCTTATGAACTCTGAAGTGCTAGGGATCCAAGGGGTACCTCGTCCATAAATAGGGTTTTATTTCAAGCTCTTAGTCATTGACTCTCATTAATCCTTTTAGGATTAATGCAAACAAAATCGATTTCACTATACTCTTTCATCTTATCTACTTGTTACAATTTTTTGTTGGGCGTCATATTGATTTCACTAATTGACTTTATTTTCCTTTATGTGCATGTATGAATTATGCTTGTCGAGTTTTATGGAACTCTTGCCTAAGTTCCAGTCTAGGATGCGTTTATTGAATGAAGTCTGCTGCCACTTGTAGATTTGCCGGGCCTGGTCCACTGGCCCAATATTGAGAGCCCAGTTTCCTTTTCCTTTTCATTCTTAGATGATAAATCTAACTGTTTAATTATATGTATATGTCTGATACTAACATCATTATTGAATACTTTTGGTACTTTCAACTATTTTAGGAACCTAGAAAAACCAAATCCCATAGGTAAATAAAAAAAAAGAGAGTTTATATCATGTTCACTAAAATATTTCGATGCTTTGATCACTTACTTCCTTAAAAAATAAAGGATTGATTTTTTATTGCTAACCCCTTTTTCAATAAAGTTTTGAGAATTATTCAGATTTGAAAAGCAAAAAGATATCTCTTTGGAAAAAAATCAGAATCGAAAGGATGTATACACAACCGATTTTCAAGAAAGAAAAATAAAAAATCAAACATGGCTTGAGATTGCAAACTGGAATGAGTTTCAAAAAATAAACTCCTATTGAAACAAGTACTTAAGAAAGGATACCTATCACAATCTAGGATATTTATTTCTAGTAGTTTTTATTTCATTAAGTCACGGGTAACCACACTTTTTCAAAAGAGATAAACGTTCAAATCTTCTTTCAAATATAGAAATCTTTCACAAAGCTTTTCCTTAACTTTTTTAGGCAAAAATATTTCAAAGGATTGTTTCATAAGTTATAAACCTTATAAAATCTATAACTCTTTTCCAAGAACATATATAACTTTCTTTCAAAATGTAGACTTTAAACGAGACTTAGAATATGCCACGGACTTTAAAGACTTAATCAAGCAGAATATAGACTTTTACTTCTCCGAATCTAGCCTAAGTTTAAAGGATCTACCTTAGGTAGATTTTAGGAGGTGCCTAACACCTTTCCCTTAGAATAACTAGAACCCTTACCCAAATCTCTCCGGTTAGTAGACTATTAGGTTAATAATCTACCAGACACATAAGTACTCTAATATAGCGTAAATATTAAGTGGAGACTCTTTTTATCAACCACAGAAGAACCACTAATTGAATCTTATTTTGACCTGTGCAAAATAGGGTGCAACAACATGGAGACTCTGTTGGGGATTTACACTTAGGTTCTGATCTTAGCAGACTTAGGCTAGATCTCAAATTTAGGGACGTTTGCTTATATGCTGCTTTAACTCCACTTAATTTTACGAATATGTGCTTACTTGTCTTACTTATTTATATTTCTATAACCTGCCAAGCATGTACTTATTTTCCTGCTTTTAATATTGGTACTGCTATCACCAATTATCTGTTACTGCTTTATACACTGTCATCATATTTCTCCTTATCGAGTCTTGGCCGTATACTATTACACACAAATAACACGCAAGGGTTGTCTTTTACACCCCTCCGAACCTTCTTTCAAAATTCTTTAGTTTCAGAGAACTGCTTTGTCAGGTCAACTAACATAACGTCGCCCAGTGTTTAATCCAACTCCAAAATTAGAAAACACTCTATTTTAGCAAGTATAGTTCATACTGCATAAAACCTTAGGCGGGTCGATCCTTCGTACTGACTCATGATTAGGAAAGCCACCTTAATATCAACGGGTCATGCACCTAATGACATACCTTTTGTGAAATGATGAACCAATCCAGATTAGACGCTAAAAGATCCGGAGAAAAAACTTACAAGACCTTTTCACTTCTTTATATGAAAATCAACTGGAACGTCCCCAAAATCAATATGGTCATGGGTGCACCATACAAGCTGAAGCAGTGGTGGAGAAATATTTACCGAGAGCCGGATGAAATCAGGACACACTTGGGAGCATTGACCTCTTTGATAAATATTAGAGCCGACAAAGTCCTTACTAGGTTGCTGATAGAGTTTTGGGACCCAGGTAAGGTGGTTTCAAGTTTGTCGACTGTGAGTTAACGCCAACACTGGAGGAAGTCACTAGCTTCACAGAGTTACCGTTTGTTGGGAGAAAACCAATACTGCCAGTTGTCATGCCCGGCCACAAGTTACTTCATGCATTGGGTTTATCAAACAACAAAAAATTGAGAAACAGTGAAGATAGATGGGTGAGTTTAGACAAGCTGTTTGACAAATTCAGACACTGAGAAAGTTACGAGTAACACATTGAAGAATTTTAATACGATCAAGAAACATGGGAGAGTCTCTGTCGTCTAACCTTTTCTCTGGCATTGTTGGGATTATTGGTCTTCCTGCAAAAAAAGGGACTAATCAATATCAACCTGCTTCCCCTGGTCTTGGCAACCTTTCAAGGGAATCTGCAAGTTACCCTTGTCCCCATGATATTGGCAAAAACACTCCGAGCACTGTCAGCATATTCCGGAGGATATGAATTTTTCAGAGGCTACAACCTACTACTCCAGATATGGATCAGAGAACATTTATTTCAGAGGGAGCCACCTATTGATTATTTTGTGGGCATAAGTAACATTATCAAGAGCCACAATGTGAGGATGAGGCACTATGTTATGTCGCACGGGCCAGAGGAGTGGAGAGACATGCTGACTATCTGAGTGGAGATTGGGTAAACTGGAAGCTTTCACAGTTAAGTGGCAGGGCAATGTTGAGAAGCCCAAGAAAATGCTTCATCGAGTTAGTGGGACTTGAAGAAATTTAGCCGTATACAACCCTAAAAGTTCTAAGGCAATTTTCTGTGATTCAAGACGTACCCCTCTGGTCGAGAACAACTTTGTATGAAGATGACTACAATAGAAAAATTCCAATCCGGAGGGTGAGGAGACTTCAAGATAAATGGAACGACTTGATCATGATGCCAATGGGTCAGAATTCCTAGTGCATTTCTGAGTACTTTATGTTGATCAACGAGGAGGACGAGTTGGCCAGACCACGTAGAGAAGGGTTGACCGTACTAGAGGATTCAGCAGTAGCTCTGCAGATATATGACGAGAGTTTGCCTCACTGTCTTGTTACCATCGCCATGCATCAACAGGTAGTGCCAGGGTCGGTCGACCTCATGTTGGTGACTGAGTACATACAGATTGAGTCAAAGACAGATCTAGAAAAGGATCCCAAGAAAGAACCAGAGTACAATAGTGATGAGGAAGAAGAAGTCGAAGAGGACCCTTAGGAGAAGCCTGAAGAAGAAAACCTGGGAGGTGACTCCGGGGAAGATTATTAGAGGCTGCTTGATTTCCCTTTATCTTGTACCCCTTTTTCATTTCCCTAAGGGCGAACCTATGAGCCCATGTAGTCTTTTGAACTTAGAAAACAATGTTGTAACCACCGCTCCCATCTATTTTAATCCAAAGCCTATCAATGAAATATCAATGTTTGCTTCGGATCAAAATGCGTCAAATATGATTGTTCATCAAACATTCGCAAGATAGGACTACCTACGGAAAAGAGAGGTCCTTCATATCTTAGGAAACGCGCTTACCTGAATACGTGAATTAATTGCTCTATGTGTTTATATTTGTGCAATCTCTAAAACTAACTTCTACTTTTCCTTATTTTCCTCCTTTATTACATTAATTTATCCCCGAAAATAGAGGTTTATTTGTCTTGATATGTAAAATTGTCTGAGCCACCATACAATCTGAGATCCAAGAGCAAAATGTCAACAACCGACGACTCGGCCGAAAATGCTCTAGTAATAGCCGACATCCCAGGGCAATCAGGGGAAAGGACGATCCCCAAAATGATGAACATGTTGCCAGAATTGCACAGGAATTGGCGTCGCTAAGAGAAGAAGTACAACATATTCGGGAGCTAGCGCATTTGACCATGATGATGCTTTGCAAACCACCCCGCTTCTCTTCATTAGATTTTATCCCTGATTATTTCTCTTCATAACCGGACAAACAACAAGTACCCCAACCACAGTCACTACAAATCTTACAATCCAAGTTGTGCCACCAGTAAACCCCATAAATCTGCCAAATCCCATATACATACACCTTATGTCCAATCACCATCAAATCCACCAGCCACCACCAACTTAATTCACATCCCTCCTCGCGGTAACATCACTTTTACCAACAACCAGAACTAGCACATACCCGCGGTACACAACGCCACAATGAGCGGTATGTTTCACCTGTATATGTCAACTCTGAACCTACCTTTACCGTGCCTGTCACGGTCAGAATGCCTTACGATCGATCAATATGCTGAGATGGAGAATGAAGCAAAGTATAAGGAAGGGGATTCAGTGTCGAAACAACTGTGAGTGTTGAGAAAGAAGATGAATAATCTCCAGGTTGATTAGGGAGCGAGAGTCTAGATTGTGAGGACTTTTGTATACATCCCGATTTTGACATGCTCGCAGGGTATAAGCCTCTGAAGTTCTACATCTTTGACAAAACGGGTGATCCCCACGCTCATTTGAGGGCTTACCACGAGAAGAAATGAAAAGCTGAGAATGAAATTTTTATAAGGAGTTTGACGGGAGAAGCGCTTACTTGGTATACCCACAAAGACCCTAAGAATTGAAGAGAGTGACAAGAAATGGCAGAGGACTTTATGAATCACTTCTAATTTAATACCGAGATCACTGTAGATAGGTTTTCCCTAGTGAATTTGCAAAAGAAACCCTCAGAATCATTTCAAGACTATGCCCGCCGTTGGAGATCGGAAGCTGCCAGGACCCAACTCCCTGTTTATCAATAAAATGATACAGTTGAATTTATATGTGGTTTATAGACAAGTTAATTGATTTGATCCAAAAATAATAGATGAATTAGACAGAAATATAAGACTTAGCCTTAAAATTGAAATAGACAGCATATATCTTGGTTCCGGGCGCAGAGCTGCCGGGAGCAATAAGAACAATACAAATAAACAAGAAAGTAAAATGTTATTGAGCTTTTGATAAAATATAATGTATGCTTGCCAAAAAATTCGTGTCCCCTACAATGATAATAGAGCTCACTATTTATAGCTGCACCTAGGGAACAAAGTTCTAGGATTAAGTTCCTCTTTAATGACATTTATGAGGGCAATTGAAGGATGTGTAAGGGAGGACAGTGAATGTCATATTCTCTGTAATGGATCATGCACTTAATGCTGTAGAATATTCTTCATTGAATGCTACCCGATGACTATATTAATTTTGTCCTTATGAGTATCATTCTCTCCGATAACAAGTGAGATCATTGCCTTCGGGTTTAGCTATCTTCTGCCTTCGGTTCCACGGGTCACATTCTCATGCGATCATTAAATATAAACATATTTTAACCCATACAGATAGTCCCCCTACTTTCCGATGGCATAACTTTATGTCACCAGGAAGTTGGTAGAAATACCTTTTTTGGCAGAAAATTCTCTGACCCCCTTTGAAAAGTTTCTGACGGTTGATTAGACGCACGTCTCTACACATTTAATGCCCCGAAAATGCGTCATCCCACCATTTAGTTTTGTCGATTATCGAGGTAATTATGGCCACAATTTTAGCCGCCTATACCCTTACTTATACACATCAAACCTCTTTATTTACACTTCATAATTTTCTACACTTTCTCAAACTCTCTTTACTCAACTCGTACTTTGTCTTCAACCTTTCTTTAACCTTCTTCTTGAGAGAAAACCTTCCCTTCATTCTCATAAAAATGGCCTCTTCTTCTAGAAACCCTAGTTCTTCAAAGAATAAAGGTAAAGCTGATGACACCGTTCTTCCTACGGTAAACACTATCATCCTGAAGAGTCTTGTAGCAACCAAAGATTTTGAAGACAAGTTTCCTTACACTAACCCTCGCACATAGGCCATTGGCGTGCACCCTTCTTCCATCTGTCCTTCCAGCATTCCCGTTGTGAAGGAAGAGTACAATTGTCGGGATATAGACCTTATTGCTCCTGACCTGGCAGAGCAAATAACTCTCCCCAAGAAGAGTTTCACATATTTTTATACGTATCCCTTCACTTTGGGGCCATTTGCTTTGAGAGGGGAGCTTGATTCCGTTATTGTGGAGTTTTACATCTACTACCAAGTGTGCCACGATACGAGAGAAGAGCTAACCCTATCTCAGTTAATGAATCCTTATTCCCCCAAGAGTTTTTGTGGGGGAATGATAAAATTCGACTAACATTGCCACCATGCCCTACTGCCTAGTATGGATGATGACAATAATCGTGGATGGATGGAATAGTTTGTTATAGTTTCCACCAAGGATATCATTCCGGCCTCGGCTTCATCCTTTTCGGAGTTGTGGAACCGTGTTCGTAAGTCCATCTTTTATCTTTTCTTCTAGTTAAAAATCATCCCATGCTGTCACTAATTCCTTTTCTTTTACTTGTTTCAGCAACTCGGTGGGTTCCATAGCGGGTTGAAGGTTTGGACCAGTGCGTCCAAAAGATTTTGGAAGTTACTACACCAGAAACCCGTACGTAGAAGGAATTAACCCTCAAATACGGATGGAAGGCCAAAAATCATAGTAAGTAAAATTTATCTCGTTTTTCCCTTTCATGTAAGGAAGCTGTTTACCTCTTTTTCCTTTGTTGAATTTAGGTCTACCTAGGGCTCAGTTGTTGATGATGATGGAGATGCCAGTTATGATAGGGCTTCTCTACATAAAAGACGACGACCTTCATCAACTAAATGGGATGCTCAATCTGTTGAGTTAGCTACACCAACCGGGGACGATGCCTCCACACTCTGGGGGCAATTTGATTTGGTCGAAGATGCCAACTCACACTTCCGAGTCCTAGCTGACGCACCCGGTACTATAGGGCTAAGTACCAGGCCTCTCCTGTCTTCGGTTGACGAGCAACCATCAACCAGCACAGCACCTGCCACAACTGCTTCTCGCCCTATAATGCCATATGCTTAACCTCCCTCTTCTCCAACTCAACCTTCGCCACCAACCACTGCTACATAATTTACACCGGCCGTGGGTGCCCGAGAGGATGATGTCCCTCTTTCTCAGTCCCCAGTTCATGGGAACCTGGGGCAAAAATATGCTGCCCCCTCAGAAGATCCCCAAAGGAGGAGGAGCGCCACCCTCTCGGTTTCCACCAGGTACAATCTGTTATCCTGGCCGGTGGAATTTGCTGACTATCTGAAGCCCCTGTCTTCAGAGAAAGATTGGGAAAAGATACAAACTCTCTCGGGAGAATGTTTGTTAAACAATTCCATGCACAATGCAGCGGCAGTATAGTCTTTGTTTTCTTCTGTTGTTTCTTCTACTTGTGTTATGGCAAAGTTTTGAATTTTCATTCTTGTTTTGCAGGCCAACATCCTTGATTTTGAGGGCCTTCAAAGATTGATTCGTGATAAGGAGGAACATACCTTCGAGCGGGATCAAAATTTGGCCGAGAGGGACCAAATTGCTGCTCGCCTCTCAGAACTGGAAGCTCGAGCTGCTGAGGCTGTTGAATTGGAGGCTCAGTTGCAGTAAAATGCGCAAGAAATAATGACCCATAGCCAAGAGGTTATCCCATTAAGGGCACAATATAAAGAAACTGAGGCCAAATGGGTTGAAGTTCATAATGTCGTCCTTGCTACGTCCGAGATGTGAGGTTGTCTCTATTGAAAGATTGAATAATTTGGAGGTAACCTTAAACTCCAAGGGTAAAGAACTGGAATAGCATGCCCAGTTGGAGGAGAAACCTTAGAGAATAATAAAATTTATTGCTCCACTGTCCGTGATTTTGAAGCCAGCCTCTGATCTATGAGATTCGTGCGAGACAAACTCTCTGTTGAGGTCGGCTAGCTTAAAGGAGAACTTCAGCGCCCAGTGGCTTCCCTCATTATTGAAAAAATATATGCTGTGTACAACATGAGGAGAAAAACCTTAGAAGAGGCTAAAGCGGACGTCATTGACTTTGATGCCGAAATCGGCAAAGCCCGTGAGCTGGAGTTGGCTACTACAAGGGTCTTACGGCTAGGCCCGATGCTACTAATTCTTTTGGTTCTAGTTCTGAGTTCTCGGGAACTGAAGAGGAACCGGAAGGTGATGATGCTGAAGGCCAAAATGACGCAGGCCAAGATATTGAACCAGTGACGAATCTACCCACTTCTCTTGAGAGAGCGGATGCTTCTCTTCCTCCGGGTTCCGGGGATGCAGCAGCTTAGTTTTTGATTTTTTTGCCAATTTTTTTATTTGTTCTCTTTGGAACTTTTATTGTAAATAAAAATACTTTTTTGCTCAAGTATCGTATATGTTTCCCCTTCTGCGTACTTTCGTTTAAACATTTGCGCACATTTGCTCTTTGTGTCTTTTTTCGTTAAGTGTTTGCGCAAGTTTTACTGTTTCCGTCTGATCATGCAAGGCTTTGATGATGTCCAAATCCACTACTAAGAAGTAAATGGACACGGTCGCATGTAATATAATATACTCAAACTATGAGTCGGGGTCGAATCCCATAGAGAGCAATATGTAGGCGATTAGGCGTGTAAGAGAATTATCCCTTATTATGCTAAGCCAAACGCTTAAAAAGGTTTTGAGAAAATATTTATGTCTAAATGAAAAAAATGTAAACTAACCTAGAAAGTAAGTAAAATAATCAATGGCTACAAGCATGGATACATGGGAAATTACACTCAAGTAACGATCCAATGTATTTCACGATTTTATAAATATGAGCGATTTTATGTTAATTAGCCTCGGGTAATAATTCCTTATTAGCTTCTTTCAAAGACTAACAAGACTTCGTAATTGAATTATCCCTAAAACAATTATGATATTAAGCACGCCCGAATATGGCTACAAGTAGTTCAATCCTATCCCTAGATAGAATCTATAAAGTGAGGGTTAATACCTTAAGTTCTTTTTAATTAATCTTTCTCAATCCCAAATTATCTTTTCCAAAATTAATTCAAAGTTAATGGGCGAGTCCTAGGGTTAGCTAATCCCTTTTGAAACATTAAAGAGCAGGAATAATTATAGAAACAATAACTCATTTCATAATAAATAAAAATCATTCAATACATAAGAAAAATAAGATATTTAATCCACACTTTAAATATGAATATTCTCATAAACAAGATTCAAGTATTGGAATAAATACTACACACTTAGGTATTCATTACAAAGCAAGGAAATGAAGAAATGAACATAAATGCGTAAGAAATGCTCAACCAAAAGCTTCAAATCTTCAAGACCCAAGTGTGTGTGCAAGAACCCTAGCTCCAAAACTTGTCTTCTCTAGTCAAGAGACTGAAAAATAAGCCAAAGATCCATTTCTAATAAGCTAGGTTGTATATTAAATGGTTTGGGGGTCAAAAACGTGAAATTCCAGAACTACCTAGTTTTTTCCACCCATTTCTTCTTCGTGTTCGCGATCTTTCCTTCGCGTTCGGGAAGGTTTTTTTCTTTAGCTTCACGTTCACAGTCATTACTTTGCGTTCGCAAAGGTTTGGTTTCCTGCAGCTACGCGTTCGCATTACTCCTTTGGGTTCGCGAAGGGTAATTCACTGGGCAGATTTCCATTGTTCATTTTAGCTCCTTTTTGACTCATTTTCACTTGGTTTCTTTACGATCACTTCTAAATTACATAAAACCTGTAAAATAGAAGTAAACAAAATTAAACACACGATTTAATCAATAAAACATAGCAAAAAATCTATGATTAAAGACGAGATAAATTAGTTAAATACCAACTTATCAAACCCCCAAACTTAAATTATTGCTTGTCCTCAAGCAATTCAACAACTAAGAACATCCTTCAATAAAATCATCAATTAAGCCCAGAGGCATATGAAACATCATTTCAAGTCAAAAAGGTTCAAATCAAACACAACCCAGTTGCTTCGGTTGGTACCAATAATTAATCCAAAGCATATGAATCGCCAATAACTTATCACAAATTTCATTTCAATTCAAGTGCTCAAACACCACATTAATCAAAGTAGCAACCAAGTCATGACACTAAATCTTCAAAATTGTCTCATTATCACAAATAATTTTCTTTTGTTCATTCCTCCCAATTGGAGATTGGATTAAGTTAACAACTCAAAATTTCATGTGCCCTCACACTTAAAAGAGAATCCTAACTTATATATTGCGATTTAAATACAAATGGGATATCAAATGGAAAGAATTAACTCTCTCCCTCACAAAGATATTCAAATGCACATAAGTTGTGCCATATGCCTGCCTTTCATATATTTCTCCACTAATGTAGACACGCTTGGTTCAAAATCAAGTAGGACTTAAAGGATTGTAATGTAGGTCTTTGGTTAAGGTAGGACATAATTTGGATAAGAGTGACTCAAAACCTCCCTAAGCACTACAATTTGCAATAATTAAAGCACTTCCTTCAAAAACTTTTCCATCCTATCTTCACTTATCATTCCACACCTAATCTTCCCTTTTTTCACAACTCCTTATATTTTCCTTTCTTTTTCTTCTTTCTTACTCAATTTTCTTTTTTTTTCTTTCTTTTCTCTTTTTTTTTGGTTACCTTTCACCTTTTAAGCATCTACCGTTACATTGTCACGCCCCAAACCTGGGGGGGAGAGACCATCACCCTGTGCCTCACTTAACCTAGTGTACCAACTTGTGACTGAGGGACTCTAAACATAGAATATCATACTTTGGCCATAGGGCCACATTGCAAGATAGTTTGCGAAGCAAAATATAAAACTGAACGGAAACTAGCTCTAACCGAACATCAATATAAAGTTGGGCCGGCAAGGCCTCCATAACATGTACAGCTGAAAAACTAACAAAAATATACATACAAGGCCTACAAGCCCAAAATACTACACTAACNTACACACACACATACACACACACACACGCACAAAAAAAAAGTACTCAATACCCTAGACCCGGCAACTCCGACGAACGTGGAGCTTACCGATCAAGTTGAACACAGACATCACCTATAAAGGAGGTATACCAGTCTATCTATCCGAACTGACATGCATGAAATGCAGCGTCCCTAGGAAAGGGATATCAGTATGAAATAATGTACTGAGTATGTAAGGCGATAGGATAACTGAAAGCAGAAACTAAACTGATAATATAATAACTGAAAGTAACTGGGAGTCAAAGATGATCTAGAGATATACTTACCTGCTGATATTGACTCAACTCTCTTAATATAGTAAGTAAAATAGTTGTCCGGCTTTATAAGGCTCGGAATGTGTAACTGCTCAGCTGTAGTAGGCTAACTCATAGGCACTCGGCCATACTAGGCTCGATATCTCGGCCATTCTAGGCTTGCTCATAGGCGCTCGGCCATATTAGAGTCGGTATATAACTTACCATCTGATCATAGGTTGCCCAATAGGGACCTTCCCACCGATATAGCTCCATGGTGGTGAAAATACTGTAACAATGTATATATATATATATATATATATATATATATATAAAGTCTCTGCTCTCTTGATTGGAAGGAAACAATACATAAGTAAATATAAAGTCCTGATAAAGGAGAATACTGTAACTTGTGATACTAGGATAAAGTACATAAATTCAGGAGTACGAACTTTTCTTCATGTCTCGTTATCAAACACATGTAGTTACGAGATCATGCCAAAATGAAGGAAAAGTTTAGCCTTAATATACCTTATCACAATCTTTCCAACCACCAAGTTCAACTCGCCTCTTCACACCTTAATCTACAACAATGATAATAATACTATCATTAAGTTACGAAAGGTACAACTATCGCACAACGAACGACAAGCTTATTTTGTATTAAAACGGGTAGCATCTCCCCTATAATCCTTACTTCCTCCAAATTCAAGATAACACCAACAACATAAGAACACAATAATAACAACATATATACATTATTTTCAACTTTATATACACCACAAAATACTACAAAATAGCCCAACATACCCCCAATCTCTTCATACACAAAACGACCACCGTAGTAGTATCAAACAGCCCGAAAATATTACGACGAACGACCAGCCCAACACCCTGAATTTATATGGTGTTTATCCACACCCTTTCTCCTCCAAAACTCCTAAAACAGTAGAAAACACTTAATCCAACAGCAACACAAAATAGCCCACAAAACAGTCCGCTACAAGTTAAATAACTCGAACTCACAGCTTTCAATCACCGTCCCGTGAGTTCTTACAATTATAGAACGACTTCCCATACATTTTCAGTAGAAAAAGTTTATGAAAGAGAGCAGTAAACTTACTTTATTCGATCACCATCTCGTGAGTTCTTGGTTTTACCTCCAACTAGAACTTGAAAAGGAGAGAAAATCAATTAGGGTTTGTGTGCAATATTTGGGAGGATTTTTGCAGGAGATTATGTCTGGTTATTGTGCCCTATTATCAGTCTAATATATGAAGAAAATAGGCCTTTAAAAGGTCTATTTGGACGACCCGAACTGACCCATTTTCAGACATATATAATGCTCTCATATAAGCAAGTAGGTGACACACCTACTTATCACCTAGCATTATGCGCAGTCTCACAAAAATGTATATATCTCTATACTCCGATGTCGTATTGACAAACGGTTTAATGAGTTAGAAAATATACTCATAGATCTTCTATTTTATGTTTATAAAACCAAGTAACTCTTAAGTATATTAGGAGAAAATCACAGTTATATTTGACCCAAATTTCAATAAAAACTTATGAACGTAACTTGTGATGACTTCTATCGACTTTTGTTCCACAACTCGCTTGATCTCAAAACATAACACACGACTATCATACGCCTAATATAACTCATAACATAACGTTCTTATCATGTTAAGAACCCTAGTCTCACCCCAAATGTATGGGTTATAACATTCCTAACTTGCCGAATTTCGACGAAACATTATTTTCTTCTATTCCTTAGCTTCTGAACCTTCCAACCCTCTTTGTACTTGTTTTTCATTATCATAAATATTTTTAATGATAACTTACTCTATATACTTCCAAATATTATCTCAATTTTGGTCTTACATTACTTTGCTTACTGCATACTTTTACTTACGAAAATGTGAGGTGTAACATATATATTCATCAATGACCCTCATAATTGACATTAAAGTAGGGCACGATCATAGGACCTTTTTCCTTGGACATAGCTATAAATAGTAAGCTCCGTTACCATTATAGAGGGGCCGAATTTTCTGGCTAAACTTACACTCTATTCTATACAAAGATTTA